TCTGTTTGCAGATGACATGATTGTATATTTAGAAAATCCCATCGTCTCAGCCCAAAAACTCCTTAAGCTGATTAGCAACTTGTACAAAGTCTCAGGGTACAAAATCAATGTGCAAAAATCACTGTACACCAATAATAGCCAAATCATGAGTGAACTCCCATTCACAATAGCTGCAGAGAGAATTAAGCACCTAAAAATACAACTTACAAGGGATGTGAAGGACCTCCTCAAGGAGAACCGCAAACCACTGCTCAAGGAAATAAAAGAGGACACAAGCAAATAGAAGAACCTTCCATGTTCATGGTTAGGAAGAATCAGTATTGTGAAAATGGCCATGCTGCCCAAAATTTATAGATTCACTGTTATTCCCATCAAGCTACCATGGACTTTCTTCACAGACTTAGACAAAAGTACTTAAAATTTTGTATGGAACTAAAAAAGAGCCTATATAGCCAAGACAATCCTAAGCAAAAAGAACAAAGCTGGAGGCATCATGTACCTGACTTCAAACTACAGTACAAGGCTACAGTAACCAAAACAGCTTGGTACTGGTACCAAAATGGATATATAGACCAACAGAACAGAACAGAGGCCTCAGAAACAATGCTACACATCTACAACCATCTGGTCTTTGACAAACCTGACAAAAACAAATAATGAGGAAAGGATTTCCTATTTAATAAGTGATATTGGGAAAACTCGCTAGCCATATGCAGAAAACTGAAACTGGACCCCTTTTTATACCTTATACAAAATTAAATCCAGATGAATTAAAGAAGTAAACCTAAGACCTAAAACCATAAAAACCCTAGAATAAAACCTAGGCAATAGCATTCAGGACATAGGTGTGAGCAAAGACTTCATGACTAAAACACCAAATGCAATGATAACAAAAGCCAAAATTGACAAATGGGATCTAATTTAACTAAAGAGCTTCTGCACAGCAAAAGAAACTATCATTAGAGTGAACAGGCAACCTACAGAATGGGAGAAAATTTTTGCAATCTATCCATCTGAGAATATCCAGAATCTACAAGGAACTTAAATTTACAGGAAAAAAACCAAACAACCTCTTCAAAAAGCGGGTGAAGGATATGAACAGACACTTTTCCAAAGAAGACATTTATGTGGTCAACTCACGTATGAAAAAAAGCTCATCAACACTGGTCATTAGAAAAATGCAAATCAAAACCACAATGAGATAATATCTTATGCTGGTTAGAATGGCAATCATGAAAAAGTCAGAAAACAACAGATGCTGGAGAGGAGGTAGAGAAATAAGAATGATTTTACACTGTTGGTGGGAGTGTAAATCAGTTCAACCATTGTGGAAGACAGTGCGGCAATTCCTCAAGGATCCAGAACTAGAAATACCATTTGATGCAGCAATCCCATTACTGGGTATATACCCAAAGGATTATAAGTCATTCTACTAAAAAGACACATGCACATGTATGTTTATTGCAGCACTATTCACAATAGCAAAGACTTGGAACCAACTCCAATATCCATCAATGATAGACTGGATAAAGAAAATGTGGCACATATACGCCTTGGAATACTATGCAGCCATAAAAAAGAATAAGTTTATGTCCTTTGCAGGGACATGGATGATACTGGAAACCATCATTCTCGGTTAACTAACACAGGAACAAAAAACTAAACACTGCATGTTCTCACTCATAGTGGGAGTTGAACAATGAGTACATATGGGCTCAGGGAGGGGAACATCACACACTGGGGCCTGTTGTGGGGGTGGGGGCAAGGGGAGGGACAGCATTAGAAGAAATACCTAATGTAATGATGGGTTGATGGGTGCAGCAACCCACCATCGCACATGCATACCTATGTAACAAAACTGCATATTCTGCACATGTATCCTAGAACTTAAGTATAATTTTAAAAAATACAAAAATTAGCTGGGAGTGTTAGTGCATGCCTCTGTGATCCCAGCTACTCTGGAGGCTGAGGCATGAGAATTGCTTGAAAGGGGGTGGGGAGGCAGAGGTTGCAGTGAACCGAGATCGAGCCACTGCACTCCAACGTGGCTGAGAGAGAGAGACTTCTCAAAAAATAAACAACAACCAAAACCAAAACAAAAACAAAAACAAAAACAAAAAAATAAACAAACAAACACGGAATTACAGAAAATGTATTTTTAAGTCTTAAATTTGAGGGTGGGGTACTGGGAACTGAAGTGTTATATACTGTGTGAGACTCAATGGATCCCTACGGACCACTCTTACTGGGTCCACTTTCTCTCCGTACTTTTTAATTCTAAGTGAGTGTGTTACTAAAATGTCTGCCCCTGTCAGCTCTGAAGAAGGACTTAATATCTTAGCTATAATTTTAAGAGTTTGAATGCTGTCACATTATCCTCCAACCCTGAAGTTTACCTTGACTGGACCCTTACTTTCTTTAATAATTTTATAATTCAAATAGAGGCATATATCTCATTTGGGTTATGTCACATGGGTAGGGAAAGGTAGAAAGCCATTGGCTAGAATATGTTAGCAAGTAGCATGCAGTCTAAGCTGGGGAGCTTTGTATATCATGGAAATATTGATCCTAAACCTGGGGATATTGCAATCTTGTTACATAATGTTCCAGGCATAGGAAATTGACCAGCTGTATTGTAACAAAGAAGTGTTTGTTAGGAAAGTATTCCAAGACAGAAAAAAATAATTTCAACTGAGCATTTTAGGAAATGTTTCTTTAGGAGCCACTGATTTGGAAGTCAAACCTTTTACATTTACTGGTGAGTAACATTTTGTTATCTGCCACAATATTTCAGCTGGTTTTGTGTTCACATGCCTTAAGGTGAAAGTTGACTTTCTACTTTAATCTTTAAATGAAGACCAATTTAATTTTGGGAAATGAAATTTAGGGAGATCATTATTATCTCCTCTCCCCAAATTAAGTAAAATTTGGGGAGACGAAAATGAAAAGGGGTCTAATATTCTCCAGTCTGGTGAAGTAGAAGTAGGAAGTTTGTTTCTTTTATCAAGTAGGCAAACACTGATAATTTCAGTGAGGCCATCGACTGCCTTTAATTATTTACGTGAGCCATCTCAGAGTTTTTGAAATGTTAAACAAGACCAAACATTCAATAATAAAGCATTATTCTAATTTGTATTAAAATATATTAAAACTAAGCATTTTTTTTAACAGGAGAATTTTGGCTAGGACTAAAAAAGATTTTTTATATAGTAAACCAGAAAAATACCAGTTTTATGCTGTATGTGTCTTTGGAATCTGAAGATGACACACTTGCTTATGCATCGTATGATAATTTTTGGTTAGAGGATGAAACAAGATTTTTTAAAATGCATTTAGGACGGTATTCAGGAAATGCTGGTAAGTTTTTTTTTATTCATAAAATTATCCAGATCTAAATTATAACTGTCTCATTATTAAGCAAAGATACAAAATGCAGTTGCTTTTATACATAACACATAACTGATAACAGAATAGATTATGAATAAGAAAGCTGGCCAAGTGTTGAGTTTTGAAACTTTGCTGTGATCATTGTACCACCTCATGCTTCTGAAGCACTTTATAGTCTCTGAAACAATTTGCCATATGTAATCTCAGTTGATTCTTTGGATAGAGAGCCTGCGGAGTAGGCTGTGAAGGCATTTTCATTTTCATGTTCAGAGAGGCTGACATTTAGACGTGACAGAATGTTAGAGATGATCTGTAGTCTTCTCACTTTACAGGTGAAAAATCTCGAGTGTTAAAGTGACTAGCCCAAGATTCCCAGATCATCTCACCTGAGCCAGGGCAAGAATCTAGGCTGACAGAACAACTAGTTTAGTGTTCTCTTCATGATACTTCGATGCATCTACTCGTTTCCAAATAAATTTAATTTGTTAGAACTTCAAAACACTTGATGTTAAACTTGCATTTTAATACTGAAAATGTAAAGGCATTTGAGTTAAAAAGTACTAAATTCAACTCCCTTGTTGCTGTTTATGGTACTTGTGCATTATGTATATTTAGTGTTAGAAATCAAAAAAGAAATGATACATGTTTGCAGCTCTTTAACTGATCCCAATATAAAGGAGAACATAAATAACACTGGAAATACAGAATAATGATGGAACTTTTGGGATCAGAAAGAGGGTGAGAATGATTCCAGTTGATTTCACCCAAAAAATATTCATGGAAGAGCAATTTTCAACAAGCGGTTAATATCAGATTCAACCTGGGAAGCTTTTTAAAAGTACATATTTCTGCAGAATCTGATTCAGTTATTTTAAGCCAGATGGATATGTTGGCATACTTGCAGTTGAGAAGCACTGATCTAGTCTTGGGAGAATGGATAGGTTTTTGGCAAATGAAGGTTGATAAACAAGAGCAGCTTGAGTTAAGGCATAGAGGGAGGAAAATTATAGGGCACAGAAAGTTGTCTGATATGGTTGGAATCTATGATACCTGAGGGGTTTAGACTAGGTGAAAGCCTGAAACTCAAATCGTGATTTATAGGGAAAAGTTTAAAGAGTTACAATATAGGATTTTCAATTCTTCCTCTCTAAAAGTGTGAAGAACTATCTAAAGATGGAATATACTATATTAGGAAGAGTTTATGTGAGGTTTCTCTGAAAGATGACTAGGATCTAATTAAAGGATAAACTTGATAATGACACAAGTTTTTTCCTTACAGAACTCTCAAACTTTGCCATACTGTACTCTACATTTTCCCAGCAAAGTTGTTAAGTAACTTCAACTGTTGATCACATAGTACGATCAAAAGAATGAAGAAAAAGGTGTGAGCAGAATGTAACAATAGAAATACAGATAAAAAACAATGGGTTTAATGTAATCACGTGTGTGTTTAGAGGCAGGTCACAAATTTGGCTTTGAGCTTGAAGAAAAGATAGAAATATAAATTTGAATATTTGAGTAACATACTTGTTCCATGAGAGTCACAGCTATTCCTGATGATAAGACTTGAGATAAATTTCTCTGGATTGTTAGAGAAAACAAAAGTGTCATGTTCTCCAACCGCACTCTCACAGAAAACATGATGAGTGTATTTTTGATAGGCTATTTTTAAGGAAATATACCTATGCATATATTTTTTCAATGAGCTAAACAAGATCTGTTGAGGAGCTTACGTGTTGTATGGTCCAGGATCCTCAATAGATTTTATTTCCGGTCGGACTTTATCTAGGGAGAATATCCATGGAATGATCACATTGTTCAGGCAAGGCTCCATGAATATTGCCTCTCTCACTGGGACTTTGGAAAGGTATTACACTGTGTGGGTATTGGAGATTATATATTCTCTGAAATACCTAAAATGCATGTGCTTTGTTTCCAGTGAAGTACACAGTCAGAGACTTTAATGATCAGCAGAGTTGGGGATAGGCCACCACTGCTAATGAAGTTCTTCAGACTCTTCAAAAGATTTATCTCAAGAGATGCCCAACATTTGGAAATAATGAAAGAAACACAGACCTTGGTTTCTCCACAGATTTTATATGGCTTCTCTTTTAGTTAGTGTTTCAAACATTAGCCAAAGTTTACATATAGGTGAAATGTAGGTATTATGGGTTTACTTAGAATCTTTACCTTTATGGAGCTTTATGAAACAAAATGTCACTCTCGCTCCTGCCACTGAGCTAACTGAGTCATCTTGGCCAAGATGCTTCATCATTGTGGGGATACTGTAAATATGAGGGATACCTTACACACAATGTTCAGGTCTGTAATCCTAGCACTTTGGGAGGCTGAATTGGGCGGATCACTTGAAGTCAGGAGTTCAAGACCAGCCCGGCCAACAGAGTGAAACCTGCTTCTACCAAAAATACAAAAACTAGCTGGGTGTGGTGGTGCATGCCTGTAATCCCAGCTACCTGGGAGGCTGTCGCAGGAGAATTGCTTGAACCCAGAAGTTGAAAGTTACAGTGAGCCGAGATCTTGCAATTGCACTCCAGCCTGGGGGACCAGAGCGAAACTCTGTCTCAAAAACAAAACAAAACAAAATAAAATAAAACAATGTTCAATAGAAGCTCTTTAAATATGGTATTGTCTTAACTACTATCCAGTTGGTACATAAATCATGTGAAGAGCCATGAAGAAAAGGTATACCTCAAAAATATACCTGAATTTTTCTTGAGGGCATTGGTATTCTTTCTACATAAGGTTGATCGTCCCTTAAAAAAAAACAAACCAACTTCTGTAATTGTAAATCTAAATTTCTTTTCTTTTCCTTTTCTTTTTTTTTTTTTTTTTTTTTTTTTTGAGATGAAGTCTTACTCTGTCACCCAGGCTAGAGTGCAGTAGTGTGATCTCGAATCACAGCATCCTCTGCCTCCTGGGTTTAAGCAATTCTCCTGCCTCAGCCTCCTGAGTAGCTGGGAGTACAGGTGCATGCCACCCCTCTCTACTAAAAATGCAAAAACTAGCCGCGCCTGGCTGGTTTTTGTATTTTTAGTAGAGATGGGGTTTCACCATATTGGCCAGGCTGATCTTGAACTCCTGACCTCATGATCCGCTTGCCTCAACCTCCCGAAGTCATGGGATTACAGGCGTGAGCCACCGTGCCCAGCTGTAAATCTAAATTTCTTAAAGGTAGAAGTTTCTCTAGCTAAAAGGCGTAATTGGTAGTGGTATGAAAACCTACCCTGTGTAAATTATTTTCTTTTCCTAAATTATCAATTATCATATTGGTCTGCCCAGTTAGAGAGTACATGACAGGTCTATACACTCTAAATTTTGGTCTAAATTATCTGGTTATATCTACACAGTAAAACTGCCATTTTGGGTTGTGACTTTTATATCAAATATTCTTTTAAAGATGCCTGTCATGTTACGGAACTCATCACCAGATTTTGGCATGTTGAATCTTTGAGTAGGAGGATTTTAACATGATAAACAGTAGAGAAATAATTTAAACCTTATTTCCAAATGTGATGCTCTTGCCTAATATGCTGGTAATGGTTAATTAAAATAATAGAAATTTCCTTTAAATTTAATCATTAAATTTTTTTTTTCCGAGGTGATGCATTCCGGGGCCTCAAAAAAGAAGATAATCAAAACGCAATGCCTTTTAGCACGTCAGATGTTGATAATGATGGGTGTCTCCCTGCATGCCTGGTCAATGGTCAGTCTGTGAAGAGCTGCAGTCACCTCAATAACAAGACCGGCTGGTGGTTTAACCAATGCGGTCTAGCAAATCTAAATGGCATTCATCACTTCCCTGGAAAATTGCTTGCAACTGGAATTCAATGGGGCACATGGACCAAAAACAACTCACCTGTCAAGATTAAATCTGTTTCAATGAAAGTTAGAAGAATGTATAATCCATATTTTAAATAATCTCATTTAACATGGTAATGCAAGTTCTATGATAATTTGTGATAGTATATTAAAGATTTTTGAAAGTTTATCTTTTGACTTAGTGTTTCAAACATATTAGGCAAAATTTAACTGTAGATGGCATTTAGATGTTATTGGTTTAATTAGAAAATTTCAATTTTGTAGTATTCTATAAAAGAAAACATGACTCATTGCATGTTTTTACTTCTAAGTATATTAACAATATATAATGAAATTTGTTTCAAGTGAATTGCAACTTGTCTTCCTAAAATTTATAGTGCTTCTAAAGGATTTTGCCTTTTCTTTGAAGCATTTTTAAACCATAATAAGTTGTTAGGAAAATTGAGGAGAGTATTTCACTTACTTTATATTTGCTTTATATAATTATATAATCTACAGATAATTTCTACTGAAGACAATTACAACAAATAACTTTAATGCAGATTAATATGTAAACTACAGGTGGTTTTAAAACCTTGCTATTTCTAGGTGATGCCATACCATTTTAAAAGTAGTAAGAATTTGCTGCCCAAATAGTTTTTCTTGTTTTCATATCTAATCATGGTTCTTGTTTGTAATAAATATACTATACTTTTATATCCTGATCAGTTGCATTCTAAAATATGTCTATATCTGAACTCTTTTTAAACTAGTAGGAATGGTATGAAGTTTAAGTGAAGGATGGTGGGTAAAAGAGTGATGAATCAGTTCTAGATATACTCTAGGAGCAAGCTGGTCCTCTACTTTGTATACTAAGGCGGTGGGAATTGGATGGTAAGAATTCCATAGGGAACAGCAGGGAACATACAAGGCCAAGTGTCAGTTACTGATAAGAGAGACAATGGAAACGATTAAGAATTAGTTTTGAAGGTGGGGCGTGGTGGTTCATGCCTGTAATCCTAGCACTTTGGGGAGGCCAAGGCAGGTGGATCACCTGAGGTCAGGAGTTTGAGATCAGCCCAACCAACATGGAGAAACCCTGTCTCTACTAAAAATACAAAATTAGCTGGATGTGGTGGTACATGCCTGCAAGCCCAGCTACTTGGGAGGGTGAGGCAGGAGAATTGCTTGAACCCAGGAGGCAGAGGCTCTGGTGAGCCGAGATTGCACCATTGCACTCTAGCCTCAAACTCCATCTCAAAAAAAAAAAAAAGAATTAGTTTTGAATAGAAAGTACTTTGTCCAGAGTTAGGGTTATATTATACTCAAAGGAGGGGAAAAGTGGCTGAAAAATTAGGTGGGAAGAGGATTGAATTAAAAGTAGGTTTGAGGATATAGATGTCAGGGTGACACAGCTAAGCCCAGAATAGAACACAGACTCTGATTTGGGTTCAGGGATGGGCTAAAATGACAATAAGGTCATTATTTAAGGTGATTTCACTTTGATATCCTCTCAAAGCAGTGAATAAATCATGAACAGGATTACATGAGATAAGATTTCAGGAGAGTGCACATGGATTCTCGTGGTCTCCAATGCTCATCACACGGGCACAGCTGAAGTTCTGTGTTTTGGCAGTGGAATAAGATGCCTGCCAGGTTGGAGGAGCACAGTATTGACTTTTTTTTTTAATTGACAGTCTTGCTCTGTTGCCCAGGCTGGGGTGTAGTGGTGCGATCTCAGCTCATTGCAACCTCTCCCTCCCCAGGTTCAAGTGATTCTCCTGCCTCAGCCTCCAGAGTAGCTGGGATTACAGGTGCATGCCACCATGCCTGGCTAATTTTTTATATTTTTAGTAGAGATGGGGTTTCACCGTGTTAGCCCGTATGGTCTCCGTCTCCTGACCTCATGATCCGCCTGCCTCAGCCTACCAAAGTGCTGGGATTACGGGCATGAGCCGCTGTGCCCAGCCCTAGTACTGACTTTTATACCTGTGATGATAGCACCACAGAGCAAATTCCCCTACAAATTAAGGCAATTCTGTCACTTAGCAAGCCAATCTGTTGTTTCAAATCTGGGCCTTGAATCTTTGCTGAGCTGGGAGTGGGGCAATCTCCCTTATGGTACCACAAGAGATAGGGGCTTCACATTATCATCTCATCATAAAGGCTATGGAGATGTTGGAAAAAATTGAGGATGAAAGCAGAATGGGAATCAATGGGATATTAAAGGGAAAGATAGACTAAGAGAGCAGTGAGAAATTTTAATTTTGGGGGGCTTTAGCGTGGGAAGACATATTTGACTTGTGATTGACTAACCATGGACAACATTACTTCCAGGATGCCTTATAGAAGCTATAAAATTATTAAGAGGTCTCAAACCCTCTTAAGATATATTTCAGGTCATAATCCTGAGCCTCGGATACCTAGACCTGACTCTTAGGAGATATTAAGGGATAAGGGACACTGTTTGCCTTTCTTTTTCTTTCTTTCTTTTCTTTCCTTCTTTCCTCCTTCCTTCCTCTTTCTTTCTCTTTCTCTCTCCCCTCCCTTTCTCCCTTCTTTCTGATTCTTTCTTTCTCTCTCTCTTTCTTTCTTTCTTTCTTTCTTTCTTTCTTTCATTCTTTCTCTCTCTCTTTCTTTTTCTTTCTTTCTTTTTCTTCCCTCCCTCCCTCCCTCCCTCCCTTCCTCCTTCCTTCCCTACTTCCTTCCCCAATAGTATGCACATGTACCTCAGAAGCAGGCATAGTAGGCATCAATCACATGCTCATAGTCTGAATGACATCATTATAGAGTCATTCTTTCAGATTCGGAAGACTTCTCTGGCTAACTGGTCCTGTTTTAAAATATGAATGCTTTACTCTTTCATCCACTTACACTTTAATCATTAGTAAATACACTGTGTCCAGTCGCGAAAAAGATCCCAGAAATATACAGATTCAATAGCTTTTCTCTATGCCAGCATAGATTAATTATAAACAAAAAAAGTTAACTTACTCATAATAGCTTTGAGAGCTATAGTACTCAGAGGTAGACTAAAGGCAAGTAATGATCTATTTAAAAATATTTCTGAAACAGACAGAAAAAAACATAACAACTTTAAGTAGCAACATACATCATAGTCTTTAAATAGAAGACTTGATGCAAAGCACTCTGGATGTGTGATGTTGAGTTGTGTGTGAGAACCAAGGGAGGTTCGAAGATGCAGGAACAATGAATGCGTAAGGATGATTTGGGTATTACTTAACGATCTGCTGATGCACCCCAGCAACATCCTAGTTAGATAGGAAACAGGTTTCTTTTTTTGTGGGTGTGTCTGTGTAACTGGAATAACTGTGTGGAATAACCGACTTGCAGGTAGGAGAGCCCACCAATTTTTTTTAACTTAAATTTTAAGTTCAAGGGGTACATGTACAGGAGGTACAGGTTTGTTACATAGGTAAATGTTTGTCATGGGGGTTGGTTGTACAGATTATGTAATCACTTAGGTATTAAGCCTGATATCCAGTAGTTATTTTTCCTGCTTCTCTCCCTCCTCCCACCTTTCACCCTCCGATAGGCCTCAGCATGTGTTGTTCCCCTCTATGTGTCGGCGTGTTGTCATCATTTAGCTCCCATTTATAAGTGAGAACATGCAGTATTTGGTTTACTGTTCCTGCATTAGTTTGCTAAAGATAATGACCTCTAGCTCTATCCTTATCCCTGCAAAGGACATGATCTTCTTCTTTTTTATGGCTGCATAGTATTCCATGGAGTATATGTACCACATTTGCTCTATCCAGTCTGTCATTGACAGAGCCCACTAATATTAATGAGCAGTGTGCTCTAGATGGTCAGTTTTGTAGCAGTATGGGTTTTGTGGTTGGGGGGTGGCTTGGTTTGAAAGAGGAGCTCACTGAAGTGCAGTGGCTGATACAAGGCTGCTCTTTCTGTCTAACCACCACAGATCCCTGGAGAATGCTCTTTGGTAAGCTCCCAAAACAAGAGGGACAATGAGCCTCCAGGGCTGCTTGGATCTGTCTCCGATGTAATCCATACACTTAGCATGAAGGATCAATACGATTTTTTTTTAATTTTGAGAAAATTTAAAGTCTTGTAAGTGTGATTAACAAGAACAAATAATATGATGGAATAGGAATTGATGGTGTTATAGTGGTTGTGAAAGTATACTATAAACATTAGTTTTTTATTGCCGTGTGACAGATTACCACAAATTTATTGGCTTAAAAGGACTCTCAGATATTAGCTTACAGTTTTGAAGCTCTGAAGTCTAGCAAAGGTTGTGTATGTTCTCTGCTGAGAGCGTGATGAGGCTAAATCAAGGTGTCATTCAGGTTGAGTTCTCATCTGGGTTCAGGGTCCTCTTCCCTGCTCATTTGTTGGCAGAACTCATTTCCTTGTGGCTATAAGGTTCAGGACCTTGTTTATCTAGCTGTGGGCTGGGACTGCTCTCAGCTTCTAGAGGTTGCCTGCTGTTCTGTAACATGGAACCTCCAGTTTACAAGATAAATATTTGCTTTCTTATAGGTCAGCCAGAACACATCTGTCTATCTACTACCTCTGCTGCCAGCCAGACCAGCCCTGTGGTTAGGTCATGTCACTTGCATAATCCTCCTATGTTAAGATTAACTGATTTGGAAACCTAATTACATTTGGATATTCCTCCAAGGCAGTATATGATTGTTGTTTGATTGAATAACTGGTGTATATGTAATGTGTCAGAACTATTGGGGTTCATCTTAGAATTCTGCTTAACACAATAAAAGCACAAAATTAAAATGTGTAATGAGGAGAACAGAAAGGTCATTAAAATACTTGATTATATGTATAACTTGATAGAAATATGTAGATATAGAAAAAGTAGAGTTTTACATCAGTGGGAAAAGAGAAAAATGGATAAATGGTAATTGGGAAAATTATTAAAAACTTGAAAATAAAAAGGAATGCTGTATTGCATAAAACATAATTATAGTTCGATTAAATACACTAAAAAACAAAATTAGTATTAGGCAAACATATGAGTTAATCTTTTTATTTCAAAGGCAGAAAGATTTCATTTGATTACTTGAATATTTGAAGGCTCCATATACCCCAAACATTGTAAGGAAAATTAGAGATAAGGGAGAAATTAGAAAAAGTATTTGAACAAGTGACAGAGTCTATTTCTTATATATGATGCACTCTAAAATATAAGAAAAGAACATCCTTACAAAAGATGCAAACAACATGAACAGCAATTGGCATAATTGTCGACAAACATAAAATTATTTCATGAGTTACCATAAAAAATAAGATCTAATGTCAGCGTTTATATGAGGTAATACTCAGTGTTTGTACAGAAGCCAAGAAGTGGGCTTACTCACACTTTTATTGTCATGTAAATTGAAATTGAGACAACCTTGTTGAAGGGTACATTTGATATTTTTCTAGGTTTGAGGAATAGTCAGGAGAAAACAGCTTATCCCAATTTCATATGACAGAACCACATGCACATGATTATGAATATTCTATCAAAGTTAACATTTAGTGTTTATGCCTCACACTGTGCTAAATACTATGCATGGATCTCATTTAGTCATAAGAAAATCCTATGAGTTAGGTATTCTCACTTTTCTGATGAAGACAATTGAATCCAATTTATAACCACAGCAATCCACTTATGTATAGGTGAACTGGAGTTTGATCTCAGGTTTTTCCACTCTATCTACCATGCTGACACA